TGGAAATAAGCCACAGCTATTTTTGTAACTCACCAAAACTAGAGGTCACAGCTGTGCCCCAGGGCAGTCCTGCCCAAAGCTACTCGCTTTCAACCTCACATGAGTCACCCTGTGACGCTGGAAAGAGCAAAGTCTTGACAGAGATTCCAATTTTTTTTTTTTTTTTTTTTTGGCCAAATGACTAATAAAAGGTCACCTTGTCAAATTTAGCCTCAGCAACAGGCAATAAATTTGTAAGTGTATTGTTGAATTAAGTTCCTGCTCTTAAATTTGAAAGGATAAATTTGTCACCTTAAAAAAAAAAAGATTTTAATTTCAAAAACAAGTGATTCTCTTTATCCTCTGAAAAGATTCCTGGCAAGTTATCTTTGCCAGGGCAACAAATACATGGAGGCCTTCATGTATTTTCCAAAACTGAGCAGGTCACTGATCAAAGTTCTTCACTGTAGACAAACGGATGGTGTATTTACTATTGCTTATACAGATACTTGTGTTTAAACTCATTGGCCTTTAAATATTTGACCCCAAGAAGAGGGCGTCTTTTCTTTGTCAGGCTAAAAGTTTTTAAACGTAGAAAGATCAAATAAAGAGAATGGAAATGTTCAAAGATTAGAAGGGATCCAGATCTAGCCACAGTGAAATTGCTCAGCACAGGGACATCTAAGAAAGCATGCTAAACAATTTTTTTTTAATTCTTCATTATTACTGCCATTACCATATTTGAAGTTTGTCCATAAACGCAAACAACAAATATAGAACATTGCATCACATAGATGTTCTTCATAGCCTAAGAAAGTAGAGCTGCTGGACTTCTCTTCATTATCAAGATTTACTATTACAGGCTTTACACTTTCAAATTTGTTTGTATCCGTTTTACCAATGAGGAAATCGGCAGCCAGAGAAGTTGGTTTGTTTAGCGGTTCCCAGAGTACAAAGAGCACAAAAAGCTGAGCAGGCACCATGGTGCCTGGGAGTGTGGACTCTGAAGACACGTCGTTGCATGTGTTCACATCCCCGCTCCATCATCCATTGTGTGACCGTGGGCAAGTCCAATGGCTACTCTAAGCCTTGGCTTCCTTGGCTATGAAACACAGATGATAATACTGAGCTCGTACCATCATTTTACATTCTAAGTGAGATAATGCATAGCAAGCACTCGAAACAGTGTCTGGCACATAGTAAGCTCTTAAAAGCTTTAGCTGTGTTTCAAAATCAGCTGGAGAGCCCACTCAAGATTAGGATACCTAGGAACCTCCTCCAGAGATCATGATTCACTAGATCTGGGTAAGAACCTAGGAATCTGCATTTTAATAAACACTGCCTGTGAGTTGGAAAACCACTGTTAGTGCAGCCAGATGTATCTAATTCCAAAATTAATGTTACCTCACCAGGAAGCAAATTCTTCAGTCCGTTCCCATTTTGTATTGGTATTCCTATGATTTTCCAAAGGGGCCACGTGTTACCTCAATTTAATGCCTTCCTAAGTAACATTTCATCTACATTGCTTTGAAAAAAATCACTTTTTTGCCTCTTAGATGCTCTCTTAAGTCACAATATTTTCCATGATGTTGCCCTTCATTTTTAGAGTCCCACAGACCTGGCATGACCAGGCCCTCGTGTCCTTCCATCGCGTAGCATCAGGGACTTGACTGGTGTCCTCTCTAGGCTAGAACCCAGTCTCCAAAGCCAAGCCCATGTCAGAGAGAGCTGAGTGTTCAGGGGTAGCTGTGTTTCAGGCCAACTCCAATTTGGTTTTCTTGTTTCCATCCCCAAACCAGGAGGCCTGCAAGCCCCACATATCAAACAACTGGTTTGTGGAATTGGTTGTTATTACAGGGAGATAACCGAGCTGCCTCTTGAAACATGAGGTTCTTAAACCAATGGGGTATCATACATACCCAGTGCTTTCTGGAAAAGTAAAGTGTACGACTCCATTTTCACCACGTTGTTTTGGAAAATAGACCTCAGAAACCAAAGGCAAACACTCAACATTCCAATCCAACTCCATCATCTTCCATGATACGGGCAGTGAAGTCACATTTGGTTAGGGCTTTAGTTGCTCTCCAGGAATGATGAACTCAGCTTGATAACAGATGTTCTAAGAAGCTAACAAAAGCTACCAAGAAAATAACTTTTTTCTGGTATCACTGTATGCACCTTTTTCAAACTGACCAAGTGATCGGACAATATAAGAAAAAAGCAGTGGAGTGATTCCATATTGTAAGCCAGATATTCACTTTGAATGAAGCTCTTTGAAGCCCGTAGTAGCTAAGTAATTAGTCTTCTCCTAAATTCTTATAAAATTTCAAGACAACAAAACGCTATGCAAGATGTCAGAACAGCAAACAGCCTCAAAGTGCTGTAGTTGGGATAACTGGAAAATAAGAAATAAGAATTCATTCATCTTTTCTCTAATTTATAGTAAATTCAATCGTGTTTACATATTGGAAGACTTGTACTTTTTTCTATTAGTAAAATATACCCCGAACGTTTCATGATCTCCCGCTCAAAGAACCTAGAGTATGCTTAAGTACTTTGTGTTAAACAGTACCACGGGGGGTTTCTTTCCTCTACCATTTCAGTAAATCCAACCATTGCACTGTGCACAGGTGTGAAGAGAGAAATCAGTAAGTGAGGCTTCTTTCCCGATGGCCCTTCCCCTCCTCGCCCATTAAACCCAACAGCTGAGGAGCTGTCAGTCTGTACTGAGACATTCTATCAGAGAAAGGATAGAACGTTATTAAAAAGTGGTAAATATGGAGATTAGGAACCTATGTAAACAAGGATACATAAGATAATGTGAAATGAGAAAAAGCAGAATAAGAAAACGAATAGTTACTGATTAAAACGATGTTAAAAACCATACAGCGTGCACGGTTACTGTCAGGAGACCACAATTTGTGCTCTTAAGCCATTGGTTGGAATATGATCTGCAGCGAAAAAAATTATATGTGTATGTATATATAAACCCTTCAGCTCATTCTTATAAATTGGCCCAGTGAAAACAAGAGCAGCAGTATATATAAAGATAAACACACACACCAAATATACATATACACATTATATATTACATTCTTGTAAAAAAAAATTTCAATGACCTCTGAGTCAGAAGGAAGGAGCTGAAGAACACATACGTGGCTGTTATCTCGAGGTGGGATTGGGGGCAGAGGGCGTTTATTAACCTTCGTCACAGCCTTCAGTGGTACAACAATCTGCTGCTCCCGGGTCCTCTCATTTGAAGACACCCACCGCCTAAGGATGAAGAGAAGCTGCTTCTTGCAGATCTGAGGCTGATTTCCCAACTCCCAGAAGTACCCTTTCCACAGCCTGTTCCCCAGACCCAGGCCTGTCCCCTTAGACCTGGTCCCAAGTCAAAACCAGCTGGTCCTATTTTAGAAGACAATACTACTTCTTCCCTTGCCTTGTATTACCAGTGGCCTAGGTTGTCTGATGCTCCTCAGGGTGTCCCCAGTGCCAGACATAGCACTTGTTACAGAGTTTCTGTTCCATTGTATACAGGGAATTATAGAGGGCAATAATAGACACCGGTGAGATGGGGGTGAGGGTTGAAAAATTACCTATAGGGTACAACGTTCACTATTCAAGCGACAGGTGCACTAAACTCCCAGACTTCACCACTACACAATATATCCATGTAACACATCTGCATTATACCCCCAAGTCATAAATCTATGAGGTACATACAAATTACATATATATGCATCAAACTAAATACATACATATATTTAAACACAGGAAACTAGAACTGATTATTTTACAAAACGAAGTTACTCCTTATCTTCATGTGACTAATACCCTTCAAATGGTAGGATTCTTAAAACATAACATTTTTACTTTCTACAGAAAGCACAGAAACACAGAAGTGTTTTTAAATGATTAAAATATTTTGCAGGAATGTACTCTTTAGTCCCAATATCAGTAGGGAAATGTTTCTATACAACAGTGAATTCATAGCATAGCATTACACGCAAAGGTCGAAAAGAATTAGGATACTCTACATGTACTAACATGAAAAGATCTTTAAATGTAATGTTGTCTGAAAACAAACTGCAGCAGTATAACTAGGGCCTTCTGTCATTTTTAACTAAGGTAAGTAAATCATGTATTCAGATGAATGAAAATAAGTTTACAGAGGTCTTGCATAATTTTAAGTTCTTAAAACAGCTCCCATGTACACACACATAAATCTGATCATATCAATAAAAATACAGTATGAGAGCTATCCCACTTACTCAACAGGAATTCTTGACCAAGACTACAAACGTAGCCCATTTGACATCGAAAACATTGGGACTGGTGTGAGAGTGAGGAAAATGGGGAGAAAAAAAGAACTTTGAAGACAAGGATTTGAAGTTAGCCTGAAGCATGGAAAGGAGGAAAGGCAAGCTTTCTTCAGTGAGGACAGTGTCTGATAGAGAAAACCAGATCCTGAGGAGGGGTTTCTCCAGGAAGAGAAGGTCAAAGTTGCAGGTAGGCTCTGGAGACAAGGAGCTCGCACACAGTGAAGATGGCAGCCACATTGAGAAATCACTCCAGGCCGAAGGACATGCACCAAAGGCGGGAAGGGTGGCACCGTGGGCTGCAGTACTGGACAGAGCTTCGGATGGGCAGGGCCCATTGGAGGGATGGGCGCAGGTGGGGCTGAGAAAGCAGCATGGGGCAAATGCTGCAAGTATGGAAGCCAAGACACGAGCTTCCTTCCAACCACCAAAGGGCAACTCACAAGCAAAATTCTTTCATAATGCTTCACCATGTTTTTCTTTTTTGTTCTTTTTTAGACAGATCTCACTCTGTTGCCCAGGCTGGAGCGCAGTAGTGCAGTCACAAACTCACTCAAACTCAAACTCCTGGGCTGAAAGGATCCTGGCACCTTAGCCTCCCGAGTAGCTGCGACAACAGGTGTGCACAATCATACCCGGCTACTTTTTTGATTTTTTGCAGAAATGGGATCTCCCTATGTTACCCAGGCTGGTCTTGAGCTCCTAGCCTCAAGTCATTCTCTTACCTTGGCCTCCCAAAGTGCTGGGATTACAGGTGTGAGCCAAGGTGCCTGGCCACCTCACCATTTTTGCTGACTGAATCACTTGACTAACCTAACCATAGCTTGCTACTGAAGATGCTGGCAACCTAGTAGACAATACATCAAGATGCAATGATGCTCCATGGAAATGCAATACCTTCCATCCAACCAAGGTAAAGGTGTCAACTAAATGCTAATGTCTCCACCAACCACAGATGGGGTTTGCAGGAGCAATGGCTGTAGGGACACTGAGATTTCACCCTCCAAAAGGCAGCATCTTCCGGTGTCACAGCTAGATCACCAGCTACCCACAGACAGCCTGAACTCCAACAGTCTCCCTGCACATGTGCCTTTAAAAGTTTTACTGGCATTATTGCTTTTTTACTTCTGGTAATTGCTTTAAAAGAACAAAGCTCTTTGTTTAAGGGGGGCCCAGGGATCTTATAATTGCCACGAGGCACATGAGAGGTTCCTAGACTTTCTAAACAGTTTCTCTTTTAACATTAAATATTAAGTTCCTAATGTTTGGCCAAAATGTAGATGCTCCCTAAGGAGGGGGAAGTGATGCTATCAGGAAGATCGTGTAGACTGGTAAGAGATCCCTCCCACATTGCTGACTTCAGAACCGCATTTTGACTACAGAACCACGGCACCTGAGGAGGGGTGCCAGCCACCCTGTGCCCATGAAACCACGATGTCTTGCCAGAAGCAGGGCACACTCTGGCCCCAGCTGCGTCAGGGGCTTCAGACTCATTAATACTATTTTCTATGTTAAAATAAATGATGACGTATCGGTTCACCTGCAATGAATCACATCGAGTCAGTTCTTCAACGAGTGTTTCCAGAATCTTTAGAAAGGGCTCCAACCCAGCCAGTGTAGGTGCTCACTGTCCCATGGTATATTTTTCCCCAGAATTTTCCAGCTGTAACTAACAGTAATTTCAGTGACATTAAATACTGTTACAGGAACTTTCCAAATGTAGAGGACCCTTTAGAATGAAGCCTTGAGCATGAGGGGCAGACCCCCTCATCCAACCACCACCTGACTCTGTGTGAACCGAGAACTGTTAGGTGAGCCCATCAGCTTGAGCGGACGACCCAGGCTTGCAAAAGGGGAGACTGGGGAAAGCTTTGCCTTTCTCTTTCTGGGGGAAGACCCATTTTTAAAATAACAATGTCCTATTTTCACAGAATGTCTGTGCTGTGATAAAAGGTCATCTGCCTACAATGTTATGATACAGACCTCAAACCTACAAACATGAGGAACTTCTGCCTCTAGGTTAACTGGTTACCCACTGTATAAGACACATCACACACAGTCCAGGAGGCGGAGTTTCTGAGATACCTAGAAACAGCTTAGAGGCAAAGTGACAAAGCAGCAACAACAAATAAAACCAATCTTCTCAAACTGGCTCTCGCTTAGGCCTAACTAGTTATGCACTACTTGAATAACTAGATCAAGTTCCCTTGAGCTGTCTTTTATTTTAAAATGCTATTGTAGGGCTGACTTATCCACTCCTTATCATGCCCAGTGTACTGTTCATATCTCGTAATCAACTTGGTGCTAAAAGTAGTGACGAGCCATGTACAATGCCAGAAATCAAATTTTGTATCAGTTAGAATCAGTTTTGGCTCCAAACAATATATAATAATGAACGTGATAACTTGTATGAAATGGCCCAATCTGTTAAGAAATGAGAACTACCAAAATTCACTAAAGAAAAAGTAACCTTGTATAGTCCTGTATCTATTTGAAAGCAGGTATTATAGTTCAAACCCTTCACACACACAAAGGCTACCAGTTTTTTTGGGTTTTTTTGGGTTTTTTTGTTTTTTTTCTGAGACGTAGTCTCGCTCTGTGACCCAGGCTGGAGTGCAGTGGCACGATTTCAGCTCACTGCAAGCTCCACCTCCCGGGTTCACACCATTCTCCTTCCTCAGCCTCCTGAGTAATTGGGACTACAGGCGCCCACCACCTCACCCGCCTAATTCTTTGTATTTTTAGTAGAGACAAGGTTTCACCGTGTTAGCCAGGATGGTCTCGATCTCCTGACCTTGTGATCCTCCTGCCTCGGCCTCCCAAAGTGCTGGGATTACAGGCCTGAGCCACCGCACCCCACCAAAGGCTACCAAATATTTAAGGAAGAAATAATACCAACTGCACACAAATTTTGCAATAAAACTAAAGAGAGAGGGATACTTCCTAACTCATTCTATGAGGCCAGCATTAATTTGATAGCAAAACTAGACAAAGATCTTATAAACAAAATACAGACCAATATTTCAGATGAGCATAGATTTAAAGTAATTTTTAAAATTTCAGTAAATCAAGTCCAAAAATACCTAAATACATCATGACCAAGTATGGTTTATTTCAAGAATGCAAGCCTGTTTTACCATTAAAAATCAGTCAGTATAATTCATTATAATATAACAAAATAATGTTATAATTATGTCTATAGATTTAGAAAAAAAATTTGAAAAAAATCCAAAGTGTTATTGACAAAACTCTCATAAATTAGAAATAAAAGAAAACTTTCTTTTTTTTTTTTTTTTTTTTTTTTTTTTTTTGAGACAGAGTCTTGCTCTGTCGCCCAGGCTGGGGTGGAGTGGCCGGATCTCAGCTCACTGCAAGCTCCGCCTCCCGGGTTTAGACCATTCTCCTGCCTCAGCTTTCTTAACCTGATAAAGGGTATTTATTTTAAAAACCTATATCCAACATAATTTGTAAATGTAATAAGAATGTCAGTTGATGGTGAAAGACTGTATGGTTTCCCAATAAGATCAGCAACAAGGCAAATATACCCATTCTCACCACTCATATCCAACTTCGTACTAGAATTTCTACCCTGTACAATAAAGCAAGACAAAGAAATAAGATGTGTCTAGATTGAAAAGGAGAAACATTCTTTATTCACAGAAAACATGATCGTCTATGTAAAAAATCCCATGGAATCTCAGAAAAATACAAGTCATGCAAACAAATAGGGGAACTTAGCAATGTTGCTGAATATAAGATATATAAAATCAATTGTATTCTACATGTTAACTAACAATGAGAAATTTAAACTGTTTAAGAAATCCCATTTACAATAGAATCAGAGAACAAAAGTTACTTTGAAATAAATCTGAGAAAAATGTAAAATATTTATACACTGAAAATAGAAAATATTGCTGACAGAAAATTAAGGAAGACCTACATAAGTGGAGACATATACCATCTTCATAGATCAAAAGACTTAGTATCAATAAGGTGTCAGTCATCTCTACACTGACCTACAGATTCCAAATAATCTGAATCAAAACTCCAGCAGGGATTTCCGTAGAAATTAACAAGCTGAGTCAAAAATTCAGGTGGAATCCAAACAACCTAGAGTAGCTAATTCCAACGATAACTTTGAAAAAGAATATATTGAGAGGACTTACATTACCAGATATCAAGACTTACTACAAAGCTACAATAACCAAGAGAGTCTTGTGTTCGTGAACTGATAGACAGAAAGACAAACAGAACAGAACAGAGTCAATTTATTTTCCACAAAGTTACAAAGTCAATTTATTTTCCACAAAGTTACAAAGTCAAGTCAATGGAGAAAGAATGGTGTCTTCAACAAATGACGCTGAAACAATTGGACACTATTATGAATTTCAGTCGTAATTCATAATTCACACCATACACAAAAATTAGTCAAAAAAGATGACGAACTTAAATGTACAACATTAAACTATAAAACTTTCAGAAAAAATAACATACGGGAAAATCTGTAATCTGAAGGCCACACAACAATTTCTTAACAACAAAAGCCTTAGAAATGTAGTCAATTGGATTTTGTCAAAATTAAGAGCTCTCAAAAGATACTTCTAAGGGAATGAAAAGATAAGCCATAGACTAGGAGAAATTATTTGCAAATTACTTTTCTGATAAAAGACCTACTAAAGGTATTCAGAACATTTAAAGAACTCTCAAAACTTCATAAGGGAAAACAACCGTAGTTTTTAAAAATGGCAAAAGATCTTAATATAGAGATCATCAAAATAACATATAAGAAGGCAAACAAGTGCATGAAAAGATATTCAACATCAATATTCATTAGGGAAATGCAAATTAAAGCCTCAGTAAGATCCCACTACACACATCTGAGAATGTCTAAAATTAAAAAGACTGGTCACCTCAAGCATTGATGAGGATTTGCAGCAATTGAGACCTCATGGACTGCTGGTGGGAATCTGCAATGTTACAGCCACTTTAGAAGAGATTTTGGAGGCTGGGCACAGTGACTCACACCTGTAATCCCAGCACTTTGGAGGCCAAGGTGGGAGGATCACTTGAGCCCAAGAGTTTGAGACCAATCTGGGCAACATAGCAAGACCCCATCTCTACCAAAAAAAAAAAAATTTAATTAGCCAGGGGTGTTGGCACATGCCTGTAGGCCAAGCTACTCAGGAGGCTGAGGTGGGAGGATTGATGGAGCCTGGGAGGTTGAGGCTACAGTGAACCAAGAGTTCACCACTGCACTCCAGCCTGGGCAACAGAGTGAGACCCTGTCTCAAAAAAGAAATAAAAGAGCTTGGCAATGTCTTAAAAAGTGTTAAACTTGTAGCTACTATATCACACAATCATTTCATTCCTAGGCTTCATCCAGGACAAACAAAGCATATGTCCACACAAAGACATGTATGCAAATATTCATAGCAGCTTTACTTAGAACAGCCAAAACCGAGGACCAATCCACATGTCCATCAAAAGGTTAATAAATAAATGATGGAATTCTACTCAGCACTAAAAAAGAATAAACTATTATTGAAACACTCAATGAGAGGGCTGAAACTCAAAATAATTATGCTGCGTGAAAGAACCATATCCCTCCCAAAAAAGTACATCTTATACGATTTCATTTATATCAGTATCTAGAAAATTCCTGCTACTGTATGGTGACAAGAAGCACATCAACGGTTGCTGTGGGGGAGACAGGGCAACAAGGGGGATGGGTTACCAAGGGGGATGAGGAAATTACTGAGAGTGGTGGGAACGTTCCTTGTCTTGATTGTGGTGATTGCTTCTTGAGTGTATACATCTGTCAAAAGAGTTCACTTCAAATGCGTGTATTCTGTATGTCAATACACCTCAATAAAGTTATTTTAAGTCACCTTATCAATGAGGGCTTCTCTGAATAACCCCCTCACTTCAAATTACAGTATTGCCCACCTACCCCACCTGTCTCTCCCTTGATTTTTCTCCATAGATTTTATCACTTTCCAATATAACGTACGTTACTTACTTGTTTTGTTTATATCTGCCTCCTCCTGCCCATAACACTGAGCTGTGGGCTTCCTGAGGGCAGAGGTTGTTTTCTGGTTTCTGGCATGATGTGTCCCTAGCAACTCGAACAGAGCCTCACTGAAGGAATGAATGGTGAAGGCTTCTTTGCCTCCGTAGCCTCCCATGAGCTCTCTCAGGTCCTCTTATTTTTTATAACACAGACTGAGTTCTCCTGCCTAAACACATAAGGTAACAGAAAGCAGGAAATATACATGTATTCTATTGATGATTCTCTATTAATCATGGGAGTCGTTCAGCCCTTCTGGGTTTCAATGTCCTCATTTATAGAAAGAGAAATAGATGATCTCTATGATTTAAATGTTTGTTATTTGTAACGTACGCTTCTCAAAATTAACCTGCAGATCCATCAGAAGTGTGAGACTTAGTAACTTTTAGCATATACATATACACAGTAGATTTATGTGAACTGACTTGAAAAAATATACATGTCAAAAATTAAGTAAAAAGAGATGCTGTCAAACAATATGCA